TGTGTGTGTGTGTGTGTGTGAAAGCAGTGCAGTCAATTGTGCAACTGACCAGCATCCCAAAGCCGATCACTTACCACGAAACTAATTAGACGCTTGCAAATATATGATTTAGCATTTGAAGCATGACCAAAATGACAATAAGCGAATCTTGTCGTCAAGTGATTTGCTCATCAAATGGCAATTAAAGGTTAAATGCTGTGAATTTATAGGGAGAGTACTTATGTTGACGGCAATTTGACAAAGTCTCTTTTTCAACCAACTGACAGATTGTACTGCGCAAATCTCATTGCCACCATCGATTTATGTTTGGAAGGACGTAGACGTGTAAGCAAGAAATACAGGAACTGTGGCAGCTCCGCGAGTGATTTTAAGTAAAGTGTGTCAAGTAAAGCCGGAGATTACAGTGACTTTAAGTCCTCCAGCATCATAAAAAGTGCAAAAATTTAAATGTTTTAAATAATGAGAGCGAGTTGGTGATTGCGGGGTCCTGTCAACCAAACCAGTTGTCGGTGAGTGAATGCGACTAACATCATAAGCTATTTCTCATGCCCTCCTGGAGTTCAGCTAAAATCCATTTTACAGAAGTTCTTTGCGCACTCATTTCGACAGTTGACAAAAAGATTATATTAACACGAATGCGCATACAAATGTGCTTTGGTACGAAGTGTGCGTTTCGTTAAAGTGCTTTTCTTTGTTAATTAACCGGTGACGCTGCCAATTTCAAAGCAGCAGGTGGAAAGGCATGGAAGGGCAGCAACCATTTCGATAGCGCATGGAAATCGGTAAAGGCATATTAACTGATTTTAGGCTGTAAATAAGGCAAAAAGGAAGAATTAACGGGTAACAGTAGCTAAAGTGCATATGGAAAGTTTTTGCAAAAGTAATCAAGCGGTGTTGATAACACTCGGGAAAGAATTCGATGCAAAAAAATAATCAAGCCCAGAGCTGTGCTACTTTGGTTGCTAGTTTAAGCCTCGATTTCTGTAATGGAGAATTTGTGGGCTCTGTGCAGTTGCACCGCACTGGAGTTGGACCAAATTTTCTTTATCGCATTGTCAAAGATTTGTGGTTTCGTTCGTCTACACAGAAGTCTTAGTACACTAAAATATTAAAGCTACCATTCAATTCGTATGTGTTAATCGGTTCTCAGCATTGTAAAGTTTCCCTTACTGTTAGCTAGGAGTAAAATTGTGAATAAAAAAAAACCGCATGAATTCCCTCTAAAGACTGAATTTGTGCCCAATTGGAAGAAGTAGAAATTATTAACTCCACTGATGTTCAGACATTTAATGCGTTATGCCCCGCAACGAAGTAGGCGTTCTCTTGTCGCTAGACTACTTCTGCGTCCCAAGGATGGTGATCAAAGGTGTCGATTCTACCTGATAAGCAGTTAATCAGTTTAAAGTTAATTTTAATTAAATGCGCAAATGCAAAATATCCTAAGCAAATAGCACTTGAAACTTCAGTCAGAAATGGAAATGTTCTTGCTGTGTAGAGTGGTATTGGTAGAAATTATTCCAATTGACACTAAGTCGCATTCGGGAAAGCATTTCACTAAATTAACGACCCGACTGCATTTACCAGCCACCAATCCTTACCCCCTCCTCCCCATAGAGCTAATTTATCAAGAGAAATAAAAGTATTCATCAAATACTTACTCTTAATCACGTATTGAAATTCCCCCTTCGCATCTGCGGATATAATTCATTAATGTGTTAAGATGCGAAAGATAAGTCACCATTGGAGTAATTTGGGCGAATTCACTGCCCTGCGTAGGGTCAGAAAATGTGGGTGTTGATGCAGACGCAACAAAGGTAAGCGAAAGGGAGATGAGATGAGTGGAATCGGACAGAGCTGCTAATGCAACTTTAAGGTTTGAAATAGGTGCGATCGGCAGTTGGTCTCTTTGTTTATCCATTTGCATAAAACACGATCAGATAGGTTTGGCGCCACACGAACAGAACGAGGACACAAATACGTAGCAGTGTGCGCGGAATTCATTAATAGCTGGCGAATTTGGAGGTGAACATCAAAAGGCGCCTGAATGCTGAACTCAATTGCGCTGGGGAGGTAATGACGTTGACACAGCAGCCTCTTGGATCTTTCAAGAGAGTATTTCGCTTTGCTCTCTTTTGCTCTTCAAAAGGACATTTTAACAACAAAATGGTGACCAGTTTGATGGAGAAGAAGAGTAGATCAGTAATTATTCCGGAAAAACGTCGGAAATACTGGCAACAATGCATATCACTAACTAGTGAGTGGTTGAAGTCCTACTTTTGCCTTCTTCTCGAGTGCTAAAGTGTAACAAAAATCGTGTAGACGTCCACACTTTCTGCAATGCATTATGGTAAACTTAAGAGTTACCATTTGGCTAAGTTTGGCAGTTGATAAATTTATAAAATGCCAAAAAATACATTAAAAAAATTACTTTGTTATCTTTTCAGCGAGACACCTCATTCAGGCACCCAGTGGGTGTACGCTGAAGAGTTAGAACGTAGTTTGCCGTGCCGATCCGTAGAGCCTCCCCCATTTCCGGCATTTACGCCTCAACGCAACTTCAGGAAGGGGCTTAAAATTCTGCTTTCATAAAGGCAACATTGTTGGAAATGCTGACAAAGTAATTCTATAAGAGAGTCGTTTGTCCTGCACTTCAGTACCACTGAGAGTGAAAATTGTGTGTATTAAGAGGTGATTCGAAACGCAAGCTTCACCCATGGCTGGATACTAACTATGTTTATTAGAATGAGCTAGTAGAAATCCTGTGCCCGATAGCTTAGTAAGAAAATTCTATTTCTGAACCATCTCCACGCCGTCGTCTATCACCACGTTTTAAAGCGGGAGTTGTGGCCATTCAAAAACCTGTCTAACCAAAGGCAAATATGACCACTTTAGGAGCCGACAAACAAGTTAAGTGGCACACTAATCAAATGCCGAGGTAATTTCGCCCAGACGATACTCACACTAATGCATGCTGCATTTCAAAAATTAGTCAAATAATGCTCTCCGCATTCTGCAGGCAAACACTTGAATGGAGTGACAGGTCAGCAAAATTATGTGAAAATTATCATAAAGGCATTTTTGTATGATGAGGTAAGGCGCAGGAAAAATTGGAAATTTACTTCTACTGATATTAGCCATTTCAGCCGCAATCACTAATGGTGAAAATAACCAAAAGCGATGTTCTTGTAGTAACGCTTCGGTGTGGGCTTTGCCTCAAAATCCCACCAGCCACACTTGTCCTCACAAGCTTCACCACAAACACGATTCAAGCTTTGCACATGCATGGAAAAGGCTCCCTTTAGTCATTTTTAGCTTTCAATTTCAAATTATTTCCTTTCCTACATTGCACTTACTCGAGCTGAATTTGCGTACTCCTCAGAAATTTCTGCCTAATGGAGGATTAATTTTTTGCACACTCGCAACCCAAGCATGAATCCGATTTTCCCTTACCTCCCCACACAGCTGCACGAATATATGCATTTGCATTCACCTGAAGAAGCAATTGAGGCACATTAAACCTCATTCGTTGTTTGCAAAGAACGCGCCTCGCGCCTGGACAGGTTATTGGTCAGTGGAACGCATGATTATCTCTCAAAGCAATAGGAAGGTGTGCCCCACTTGCATGCTTTCCTTGCGTTGCTCAAGTACCACCTTCAGGGGAAGAAGTCATCGTTATGCGAGCCAAGAATGGTTGACGTCGAAGTTCACGGGATGCTAAACCATTCATCAATCCGAGTCGGTTTCCGTGAGTGTTTTCAGCTATAACTGTGCTCTTCCTCATCTTCTCAAAGGTCATGCTTATAAGGTCTTTATGCAGATGTGTTTCATACAAAATCCCTCAAAGGTGCTATATGTAAAAACAAAAAACGTCCACCTTGTAAGGAAAGTGACATGGACAGGTGAAAACAATGGTGAATAAGATGAAGCATAGGTGTAATTCGGTATGTAAAAATCCTGCGCGACCTCTACTTTGGTACACATCCCGTGGGTCTGGAGTAGAGGCAAATGAACTTTCGACATGCCGCTACAACCTTTTTAACAGGACTGATCCGAAATAATAATCAACACTTAATCATTTCTGCATTTCATACTCTTAGACTGATGTTCTCCTAAATATTTGCGTAATTCCTTCATCAGTAGGTTCACTCCTATCCGTCTTTCTGACCTGCGTGGCAGTTGCTCAATCAAGCTGTCAATTTCCTGAATTTCTGTTGCTTTCAAGCACGAATGTCTGGTGGTCCAATCCAGTTACTTACAGCATTTCACAATATCCCGCGCTCCCTCCCTCTTCCTTCGCCCAGCTCACAGTGAGGGGAGATCTGCGCAAAATGATTCTCTCCTTCCCCGTTGGACCCTCATTAGGATCCATTCAATATCTTTCAGACCAGTACCCTTTCTTTAACAAGGCAACAGTTATTAGAAATTCTTCGGCATCTACAATAAGCGTCAATCTACGGTGTGAGCATGTCGTTGACAAAGCCACAGAAACATACGTGGCTGAACTTCTGAAGCCAAATTTCAAGTGAGAGGAACGAGATGTAGCAAATTTTTATGCCAAACTTTTTATAAAAACTAGCAAATTCAGGTTATTAAAAGTTAACTTATTTATAGCATAAAAATACAGCTCTGTGTTTAAAATCGGAACTTTTAAATAGGGATGCTGTGCTAAATGGGCCTTCCTTCAAGTAACTCCATAACTCGAATCCCAAAAAAATTTGAAGTTTATCCAAAATTTGTGGCAATACAAAGTCAGGCAGAAATGTTTGATAAAGTGGTAGTGCGTACAAGAGCCTAAAGTACGAGAAGGAGATGTGCAAGTTTTGAAAGACGTGCGTTCGTGGAGGAGTGCTGAGCACGCTGCTTGCAAGGTATTTAATAGGGGAATAAACCGAGCCATTTTGCACGGTGGGGCGCACATCATCCCACACCTTTTACTCAAAAGAGTAAACACTTACACCGCACCAAAGCGCAGTGGCAACATCAACTTTTGCTAGTGAGAGTGATGGTTTTTGTGGGTGAAGTTTAAAGTGGACGATGATACAATTACGAGAATTCGCAGTGACAGCTTATGCCAACGCAGTTACAGAGAGCATTAAGTTGAAATTGTTTTATTGGCATTACTGTTATCATGGAAATCGCCATAAGCCCTTCCGAGTGTGCGAGTGGCAAACCATTCCATTTACCTGAGTGGAACCAATTTTCCGTGCTCTGTATGCGCTAGAGGAGTAAAGAATTTATGTCTAAAGCGAATTCGCATAAAAATGCCAAGAGAAAAACACAGACCCAGTTAAGAAGAAAAACTAAAAGCACATGGTGAACCATGAAAGAACTATTGATGAGACAAACTATCAATGTGGTAGATTTTATAGGCGAGGTTAAACATTTTTTTTCAAGCAGAAATCTATTTCATCTTGCCATTAGCTGAAACAAAATCAAAACCAATCTCAAGCTTATCCGTCGAATGATACTGCTTTTGGCTGGCTTCTAATGAAATCTGAAGGAAGTTAATTTATTGTTTCTTGTGTTGCATTTGCACCATCCATTGCACAAGTGTATCGGAATGAAGTTGATGTAGAATTCAAGGTGTTGACGAAATGTTTACCGTCCATTTCAAAATAAAGTTGCATCCAGTCTTATAAGGCGTTGTATTTCTGGTAAACGCTCATTTTGGTTAAGGAATTTTCTCATTTTCAAAACAGATTTCTGTACATATGCATGCGTTTTCAAATTCTCAATCGGACTCCACCCACGGAAGTCTTCGAGCTTATTCAAGGTAAGTTTAAAGGACTTCTAGCTGAATACAATGCTTCAAGCTTTTATGAAGACAATGAATGTGACTTTTTTCAGGGGAAGGCACAGCATCCCCATCCGACTGTACAACTCCTGTAAATAATCCTCACCGCAGTGTGTGGATACGTAAGACATTTCATTGTAAAACTATGGGTGAATATCGTACCAATGTGAGGCTAAAAGATAGATAATTGTTGACGACGGGCCAATAATTGTTCATGAGGTGCTTTTACAGTGTGAAAAGGGAAGGCGACGTACCAACCCTTCTCACATTACCTTAGCTATGAGCGGAAACTAGAATTTGGCTTTGATTTACTCTCAACTCCGAGACACATTTCAAACAACTTAAACATGTTTTACTGAGTCTCTTATACAGGGGAACACAATTTACACACTTTAATATTCTCAACCGACTTGCAAAGTGCCTACGTAGGCTCAAACCGAAAAGTTTTTTTTGTTCGTTTGTACAAACAATCGGGAAGTCCCCTCACACAACCAGGTCGACTCTCACAATCTCGAAGTTTCAATTATTTATAAGTCGTAACGTCAACTGCATTTCATGGATGCCATTTCAGTTCTGACTAAAGTGGATCATTTCGTCCTTCAGCCAATTTGTCAAAGTACCTATCAGGGCATCGTCGAAGCAGGTGTCCAATTGTTGGCGGTTTTCAGGCGAAAAATTTTATGAAAATCAGGTCCAAATCGGTAGGCAACTTACTGCTCCAAAAGGGAGAATTTTTTAGCATGCACTGTTGTCCCAGAGCAGCATTTTTAAATAGTATCTTGATCTTTCTTTAGCAAATTTGCGCCTCCTCTGTGTATGTGACGATTGACTCGGAGTGCATTCGTGGCGAGGGAATTGAATTGCATTTCAATGAGGTCGGTTGCAATCCCTTCGAGCCCGCGTTGGGTGCGTTCAACCATCGCTAAAATCAAATCTTTGTAGATTAAAACTGAAGAAACTACAAATATCTGCTTTCATCCATTATGACAATTTTAACCACCTCTTCGTTCTGTGTACCGAGAATTTCATGCTAGCATTTGCGTTTTGGCTATAAATAGCATGTTTTGCAGGTCTGGTTGCAGGCTTACTTAGTTAAATTGCATGATTTGCCTGCATTTTAAGGGTTTACGATAACCCATGCCAGAGGAAAATGCTGAATACACACAAAGTATTTCTGACTAGACTTGCGAGGAAGTTTTCGATTTTGTTTTCTTTTTCAACTGTATCACAACCGGATATCGCATTTAAACACAATTTTTAAAAAAAGTGGATGCAAACCCATATTTTAGAGGTGAAGCGCGCTAGAACCGTGAGATTTAACAACATGGATGTTTTTGGAACAACACATTCCGATGTAAATCTTGAAGGTGAGGATTTCTGAGGTTCGAAAACTAGAACGGATTGAATTGATTTGGCGCTGAAATTGTGAATTTGCATGTAAGGTAGTAGGCTTGACAGGAGACAGTGTTTGCTATCCATTCTCACTTCCTTCATAGTCCTAATTCCCAGCGTTTAACTGCATCCGTTTTTGAGCACCACCACAACAAAAGTAAAGGTATTTCAGCAATTACGCACGTCTGTTGTGTGTCGTAAAAATCGCATTTCTACTTCACCCAAGGATTTAAAGTAATCATTCATTAAAAGTAATTTTAATAAGTTGTTATAGAACGAGGCGATTTGAATGGTAGGTCTTGCCCTTTATATTGGCTTGAATGAACTTTTTGCTGTTTAAACGTACAAGTTAAGCAGTTGGAAAGGGAATGCTCCTGTGCTTCCTAAAGTTGTTAAATATATGAGTGAAATTTGCTTTCAAAAATCAGCAAACCATATTGAGGAACACAAAGTACGCACTAACTAAACTTCCCTTGCGACTTTATGACTCTATCACGGAAGCATAAATACATTTCCAACAGAGACTTGAATAGAGCAACCAAACCACCCATTTCACCAACCATAAATGGCTAGCGCCAAAGAATTGGAAAGCATTAGTCTTTTATTGTTTTCCATTGCAAGTGACCAAATTTGTGTGCTTTGTTCAATGGGCCGAAATGGGGAGCGTCAATACAATTCTTGTCAAAGAAAAAAGCTCAGCAGACTACATTGTTGCAAGCATGGTAGGTAAAGGCAACTGTATTATGTCTTTGCTTGCCTCACATATTGATGCAACCTTTTATGCGATTTTGTTGTCGCAAGTTTATTGCCGAAATAGGCGGAAGATTTTTGACTTCTGATTCTTGATAGACCTATGCATATAGATGGGAGATGCGTGGCTTTAATAATCCAACTTTGAATTTAGCAGATAGGATTCTTCATGCGAAATGCCATTATGAAAAGTCTTGATCTAGTGGGAACGAGGGATTCGTATTAGGTGGTTGAGTAGGTGACCGCAAAATAGCCATCCTTGGGGCGTATTGTGCTAGCTGACCGCCCGATTGCCTCCAAAATCTACAATGACCATAATTGTTTCATTCAAATTGAACAACTCTCTCACCAAAACTTAGGCGGATGAATAGTTACATTCGATAAGCTTAGCGTACGTATCATCTCACATGGATTTAATTACACATGAAATGAAGAACCACAGTAATCGTCATTTTAAATGAAATTAAATACTTTAATTGTTCCCAGTTCTATCAGGACCCGCCAACACAGGTAGACACTGTGAACAATGAGTATGGCAGTTTTACAAAGATCTACATAGGTCTGGGCATTTTCCGGCCCATGGCACAGAGCACAAAAGATGGCGCTAACGTAGCATATCCGGCCTACCTTTATGACCTCCAGCCTTTTGACACAGCCTTAAAGACATCGCCGGCGGCTTTCTACGAAGTACAAATGCGGGGAGCTTGTAAGTGTATTTGGGATTTGTCCCTTTGGCCTTTTGTTAACTACGAGGATTGTAAAGGCTGGGCAAAAACCCATCAAAGTTTTCAAGTAGGGAACGAAAAATCGCTATTTCTGGGGGAATTGACGTGCCGATATTTCCAAGAACCGAGTACGCTAGAATTCCATTTTTATTTTCTACACATTGTGAATTATCCACTAGCTGGCGAATGTTTCATGTAAAACTAAGTCACTCCCGGGCATAAGTGCGCTTTTCAAAGGAAATGCTATGCCAAGACAAATTGTACAAATTTCAACAAATTTTTTGTCTCCAGCCTAATTAGTTTAGGTTGTTTGCTTTGATTAATCCTTAGAATTGGGCGTATTACCGATCCGCAGTGATTTAATTCCTTAAAAGACATTTTGGCATCAATTGGTATTGTGGGGCACCCAAAACGCATCATTAATAGTTTGTAAAATTATTGCATCATCGGTGTGAATAGCGAAATAACGAAGGCGACGATAATCAAAAGTCCATAAAGGAAATGCTCATTCTCGCATCGTTTCACTAGCCTACACTTCGCAAATTGAAAATGAAATTTCACTTGAGAGATGGATTTGAATAATTTCTTACTATAGTGACTCAGGCAAAATCATAAGGCGGAATCAGCCTTGCAACATTTATTAATCGTCTCAGTGCAGGGGCTTGAATTTTAAATGACAACCAACATCTTGTGAAGGTTGACCCTAGCGAACAACGCAACTGCCACGTCAACTAGGTAGTTGTAGAAGGATTGTCTGTGCTCCAAAATCTGCATAAGGCACCCAAAACCTTAGTAATAAAAAGGAAATGGAGCAAATAAACAATGCGCCAAAATGATGTCTCAGTTAGAGAGTTAGGCTCATGTTAATGTGAGGCATGACTATTGCCAGACCAGTCTGGTGTGTTTCTGCATGTCATGCAATGTAATTACGCAGTTATGCCTTTAAACCGTAGAGGTTTGCAGGACGGTTTTAGTTTTTGCTGACTTAGACCTCTCCGAGAGCATGCGATAATGCAATCTAAAAGCATATATGAACTTGTACCGAACAGAAGCATCGTAAATAGATACGTTTTGGTTTATTTTATTCCGCTCTACTGCGCAGGGGAGTTAAAACGAGAGCATGATATATCTGTGTTTGCAAATTTACTGAGGTCATTGCAAGGAAAAGAACTTTACGAAAATGTTGCCACCGAATAAAATAGCCGTGGTCATCGAGGTGCCATACAGTGAAAGTAAGTGAGACCAGTGCGAAGTCGATCGGCTCACCCACCACTTGCTCCATGCCGGTGGTGGCAGACAGGTGGGTTGCAAAATACTCGCCTTGAATCAAATAAGTGTTTCAGCTTTGCTTCCTCTCTCGAGTACAGAACACACCTAATTGCCTCGTAAAAAGAACGTTCCTTAAAGTTAGTGGAAAGAAGTGAAATTTGTTCCAAAACAAACAGGAAGATACAACAACAATAGTACTTTTAATGTGGGGCATGAATGATTATTTTTCCTTCCTTCAACTCATGCTTGGCTAATCTTGATAAAGCGACAGCAGTGACAAGACGCTTAAGCTATTGATAAGGAGCCAGTTCCAACTCTTAACAGCAGTAACCAAGTCAGAATAAGAAACGGGATATGCCATCCAATTCATGACTATCAAATCTACTAGTAAAGTATAAAAAGGATTTGCTGAGTAAGTGGTACACAAAAACTGTCATCCACATCAAGTTGGCATGTCGTGTTAATATTAAAGTCGATGCTCGAACTTGGGAAAGATAAGCAGTAGATTTATATTTTAATTTGAATGGTAACTTGTGCTGAAATGTTGTGCGAGACTTGCTGAACGAAAGGTGTTGGTGGGGGATCACTCTTATTAAGTTTGCCCCAACTTCAAGATAGACACAAAAAGTCAATGTGAACTGTGGGAATAACATAGATTTTGCAGTAAAGTTAGGTTAAAACCGAACTGATAGCGTTGTTTTCAGCTCCCTTTGCCTTATTTAGTTGGAACCTGCGATGATGAGTTAGAGCAATGTGAAAGAGGATGCAATGCGGATGCTCGGAATCGGCTATTTTGCAGACGATCCTGTCCCTCTGTTCGAAAGGAGTGCAGTGAGTGTTTGCTCATGTTCATTAACTTTCGGTCGGTTGATCCGTTGTAAGTAGTTGGTTTTAAGGCACAATTATTAATAAGCTTGTGTTCACATCAGCCAGATTTATTGTATCCCCTAAGAGCAGACCTTACGGAGTCAGCTGAACAACAGACCTCATGTCTTGAAGCAACAGTAGCTGTAGACAACGATAATCCATTTAAATAAATGCGGTGCAAAAAATGCTTTTCACATTGAGCAGCTCGATGATGGAATATGCAACTCGGTTCTCCTTACTCTCTCCGTTTTGTGTTCCCTTAAAATGTGCATAGTTACCCACACTTTAAATGGAGATGCATTTAAACTGCAAATTAAGACTTTTGATTTATTGTTTGATATGAAACAGGGTAAAAAGTGGGCCGCAACTGTTAAAGCTAAGTTGTGACCTGCGCATTAGCTGGTTTAATGAGGGTTTAAATGACATTTCATAAAAAAAATGCATACGATGAACAATTGCATTTGAGCTAATGGGCATTAGGCTTCATGGCTTCTAACGGAAGTGTTTTGAAATAAAAAAGAAACCTCATACCTTTTTAACCATCTTATTATGATTTACTTCCGTAACTACTCACTGCCTTATAATACAGATCGGCCAAAGGCTGTGCCTTATTTCCATTGCATTATTTGCTTAATACATGGTTGCGGACACCTCTGAGACAAAAGAAAGTTGCTATCACTGGCATGTATACAAAACTATCTAAATGAGTGCTTACCAAGGTTATATAGAATATGTTTATTTGCTTGGAAAAGACGTCCATCATAAGCAGTATTAAGGCAATAGGAGTTATGTGAGCATCCAGTTAACTGTCTTATGATGACAATTTACACGCACTGTAGAAGAAATCTGCAGCACCTGTGAAAACAGAGGCGTTTTAAAGCAGAACAAAGCTTTACTAAATGATCGGTATTGTGGCCGTTGTTATTTGTGGAGATGGAGTGGATGTAACGCATTGTGTGCCGCAAGAGGCATTCAAAGGCTTATATTGTCGACTGCAGTACCTCTCACAAACAGGGTAGGAAAGGGGGAACGAGCGACTGTTGCACGGACAGGACCACATTGAACATGGACTCATATTCGTTGGGATGATCGCGACATCGATTTTAAGGCCCACAACAAACGCGGAACTGTCTGTGGAATAATTTGTGTCCACTAGTTAAGGAGTTTATTTTCTGTTTATTTCACTTGCTAGCATTGATGCAATGATGCACTGACAAATTAAAAACAGTTGGGGCAGGTATGCTAGACTATATGACGATGTCTGTTCCATGCCGTTTCTATGCTTTAAGCCAATTTGTCGGTCACTAATTACTTGAACTATGAAGACTCTGCCTTGAGGGCTTTCCTTGTAAAGCTCTAAAGCCTACCACTGTCCAAACGTAAGGCAATCTCATTGCTGGCATCCAAATGCCCCCGCTGCTAAATAATCCCTCTCGGTGTTTCGTTTTCATCCTAACACATCTACGTCTTCTTCAAAGATGGCGATTTAGCGGTTCATGGTACAGCTGGTACCGCAACTAGCTTGTAGGCTGGAGTTATAGTCGCCCACACGACTAAACGGTTGTTTTTGCCAGGCTAAGGATGAATCCTTTTGTCTACAACGTAAAGACCAAGTGGCTAAAATTTTAAAAACAACGAAATCTTCGGTTATTTCAATGCAATCCTTTTATGTTTGGTAAAAGGCTTTTCTGGCGTTGATTTTTATTCACAAGCAAAATTTTGTTCTGACGACTCGGATCAGTGGATTAAATTGTGAGAGGGAGAGATGAATTTGCCTAGCAGAGGCGCTGCCATGGAAGAACGGATCGAATTTGCAGCTAATGCAGCACAAGTGTAAGCTTATAACAAAACCGTGAACTAAAAGCAATGTAAACGATGGTGAATGTCGTGGCATCTGCGGTCGACTGTTTAGATGTGTAAAGAGGATGTTACACTTCGTTTGTCAAAACTTGCCTGGAAATGGGTTTAAATGAAATGTCAGTGTCGAAAAGCTGTACCGGCTAATAGAATCCACTAATGGCTGTGTAAGGGCGTAGAACGGAGCACACTTCCACTCGTGCGTCGCTCTCAAGACAAGTCGGTTCAGTGAACGCGCTCCCTCCATTGTGCTTTCAACTTAACAACTGTCCATTTTGATTTGAACTAATTTTTAGGTTTTTTCAAGAAAATCTCATCTTTTACAAGGACCAACATTTTCGAGGAAACATTTTAACCTGATAGTACTTTTGTTTGGAGGCAAAATCAACTTTGGATTTGAGTGGTTTACTATAAAAAGGTGAACTTGATCATTTTAAAAGTTTTGATGTTCATTTAAGTAAAGTAGCCGCCCTCAAACAGGGCTTTTAGATTAAAAAAAAGACTTCGCCTAGAGGTCGCTCAACTTTAAACAAAGTAGAAATGATTAACATATGTTCAGGGATGAGGCAACGAATAAGTTGAAGAACAAGGGAAGTTTTCCATTCACCCAGAATAGAGCTGGCCTTGAGATCAGATTATTCTTTGTGAATGATTTTGAAAGTGTCAGTGCTTTTGGAATGAAACGTGATGTCATACTTGAGGCAAGCTCTCTAATGCATTTCCACTGCTAAAAACACCTAACATAGGAAATAAAATATTCCAGAACTAAGGCGTTGTAACTTGATTATACTGGCCGTCAGTTAAGGTGGTTGTTCATTCAAATACGCTGTTATTTGCGTCATTACCTCAGGCATGGCTCACAGCGATTCGTGCGAAATAAATGCCTCCTACCGGGGGCTTTGGCTCCTCATCGACCCACTCCCCGGCGGATCGGAGCAGAGTGAACAGCACCGGCATACGCGACGACTGATTAACATTTCTGACCGAACTGTGACCTTTGCCAATGTGTTAGGTGATGAGACATTCTACGAGTTCTCCTGCCTCCGGGAGGCAAGTGAAATCGTTCCCGATTGGTACATTCTCGGGGGCAGGCAGTTGCAGCCAGGGTGGTGAGCTCAATTGGACTTTTTAAACGCACTCACTCCATCTGACGTCTACACCGAGCAGCAACTTAATGAGTGTCCATATTTTGATGGTTCTAATCGACGTAACTGCTGAGTCTTGTATTTTTCTCTGTGTTGTAAGTTTCATACAATTTGATTAAAACCGAGTAGTCTTCACAAGTAATTTTCTTAAAAATGTTGACAACTAGCACTGTAAACCCACACGAACTGCTTTTATTAGGCAACTATCTGTTTGGTGACAGTGCTTGTCAGAACTGCAGCACTTAAACGATAGTTGCACAAACATAATGTACCAACCATGAAGATGTTATGGACATTAAAATAAAAAAAATCATTTCCATTTTGATGGTGAATTAGTTTAAGGGTAGCAAGCAAGGGAAGCATGGTTAAGAGCACCTCCATCCAAGTGTTATAATGAGAGGGACAAACGCCAATGGAGTGAACACTTTCCGAAATTTGTTGATTAGGTAGCCGTAGCAGTGTAGCAGTTGACATCTGTAGCGCATAACACTTCCAAATGTACGTAACATAGGAAGCTTATGGGAAATATGGAGGACATAGCTATGCGGATACCATTATGTATTACGCACTATAATTGCGCATTTCCAACCTATAAACTGTGACTCGCCTTTCGTATTGATGTGCACTTCCTGTCCGTTTCAGTGGACAGGCATATAGGCATTAGCAAGTTCAATGTCTGCTTTGTCAACTTCTTTCAGGTTTTGTGAGACTATGCTTGTAATTTACAAGTCGTCAAAACTGAGCGTGTACATGCTGGGAAGTGCTTTCATTTCATTCTTATATTCCCTGTATCAAGCCATCCACGAGATGTCTGCCTTGAGGTCTACCAAAATAGGCCAATATTCTCCAACGAGGCGCCCAACACGAATACTCTGCTATTCCGACTGTGTAAGTCAGTGAATTCTGCATTCGCTAAATTGTCATTTCAGTAGATAAAATTTCTGCCTTGTGCTAGAAGATGCCAATGATACATAAAACGAATCGGATTGCAGTGGGTAAAACAAATTATTAGACTCTCATAAAAATTGGACACTAATAAATGCTGCATTCTTCTCCCCATCGGTCTGGCTTATGAGTGTGTTCTTTCGTAAATGCCCAACCATGCGAGAATTAGTAATTTGGATACATTGTCTACAATAAACTGTGGTGGTGGTCCACAGACCCTTAACTTGGCCCTCCGTGGAACGAAGTGAGACATCGTCGCTGTTATTGGCTGCATGTCGTTGAAACCGCCATTCTATACAAATGCACCGTCAGACTGAATTAGGGCAGAGTATGTTAGTGAGTCTGAGTTCTGCAATTTCACATGCACCTATTAAGTGTCAAAGCGCCAAATTGGAGAGCTTTTGCTTTGTCGAGTGGGCTCAAGTTGACTAAATAATAATAATGAGTTAATTTTATTATTTCTTAACAGCCGATTATAGCCCGGCATTGTTACATTGAGTAGATGATTATCGTTTTAACTGGCACAGAATGCCTGCATTTCTGTAAGACTTAAGATAGTGACTTAAAGTTAGACGCTTCGGTTTCTCCGGTATTTTTTTACGACTTGGCAGTACTCTTTTTACGGTAAGCGTTCGCGAAAACGTTATGGAAGATGCTTATCGCAGTGAATAAAGTGTCACAGCAAAAAAGATTTTTCGGATAACAAGTTGTTTTTAATAAATTACGCAACACCTAAAGATCTCCATAATTGTGTATTACGTGTAGTGGCATCTTGAAACAACCTGTTTAGTCTTAAATTTTGGGTAGATGTTTAAAGCATTTCGAATCATTGGCTTTTTGCACACTTTCAGAGCCTCTTCTTATTCTCTTGGATACATCTTAAAACAGTCAATGTAGAGACTTCAAATTTGCTAGTAATCAAAATGAACACTATTTTTGCAGCTAAAAGCGAAAAACAAGGTGTCGACATCTCCAATTTGTGCACATTTCCCGACGATCCGAGGAGTACAAAGCAACGGAGGGCCCAAGTTTTAGTCAAGCAAGTCAGTCATCGAGGTGAGGCACTCATACTTAGCAGACTACCCTGCTTCATGATGATCATTCAGTTTCCTCATACATACAGTCAGTTGATCTACACGCCATGTAGAGTGAAGAGATTTTCACTATTGGATACAATAGCGAAAGGTACTAATGCCACGACAATACTTAACAGGAGCCAAATTATTAGAAACGGAAAAAAGTGGTAACGGTGTGGCGTGAAGGCTCTACTTAAGGCTGGAGCACAGATAACCGAAATAAATCTGTTTATTAATTCCAATTCTCTCCACTAAGTAGCCACAAATCTTTCACTTAAAGCAAGCACTGATTCCGCATCGAAATACTTAAAATGGGACTTAATGGCGTTTTGCAGTGCAGAGGTCCTCATTTTCAAGGCGGAAATGCTCCCAGGAAATCACTGCAAAAATAAATGCGATTTACCTTGAACTTTTTGATCTATTTAGATTTGACAAATCCCATGCATTGATTTATGCGGAGTCAAGTCTTGTTAAAAGACTTGATTTAACGTTCTCACAATGCATACAACCGTGCGTTGGTTGATCTCTCTCCACACCCGTACTGGCTAAAAGAAATGGTGCTAAGTTTTGAGGAAAGAGGGAAACTCTGTTTAATCCTCCTTTGCATCTAAAGCAAGATCATAGTCAAGTTTTTGAAACCTTTGGGACCTATTTTCAACAATCACTGTCATGTGACGATCGCTTTACGAAATTGCTTCATCAGGAGCTTTGAGAACCAGTAGTGCCACTCTCTGATGAAATTAGTGTTTAAATGCGTGAGTTAAGGTGAGGACCAGGATGATGTTGCGCCTTTAAGTGTCACTGAATAATAAATTTTAGGTACAATTACAGGTTCATTCTTAAAAAATCTGGAAGACTGTGCGGTTTAAGTTTACCTTTTCTTGCTGTATGTTTTGCTTCAGCGACTTTATGTGTCTGTATACTGACGCACTTTAGGTCCTTTTGGATCCCCTCATGAAAAGATTTTTAATGCCTCAAAGTGCGAAATCTATCAGATTAAGCTTCGAGGCTCAATTAGACTTCGAGCGCAATTTTTCAGTAACTTGATCGTCGCCCAAGCAGCCCGTCAATTCGATGCATTCGCGGAGCAAAACGGTGTGGAAAAGGAAGCTAAAAATCACTTTGTGTGGAGTCGCAAAGATACCACCTTCCTGCCCGAAATGGTTTCCTGTGCAATTGAATTGTCCGACTTCAATCCACAACTTGGAACAACGGGTGAATTCGATGGATTTTTGCGTTTAAAATCGAGCTGTTCCGTTGATCCTTTCTCGAGATTCACAAACAACGGCAAGTTGGCATTCGTATTGTTGTATGGGAATCTTATGGGGAAGTAAATTCGCCCCAAACTTGGCCTAACTGAGAGCACCAATAATAGTCAAGTGAGGTGTGAAGAAATGCCTTGGAAGAAATTTTGAACGAATATTTTTACGGCCAGTGAACTTCAACGCCTGAAAATTAATTATGTCCCATGCGTTGCGTTGGGGCTAAAATACAATGAACGCATAAAATAAGAGCCAAATTGTCACACGTTTTTTTCCATTCCTCACTGTATTTCTGTTTACGAAACAACGATTAATCATTAAAACCTTGGTTCAAAACAGCCAAAAATAGATCTCTAAACAGAAGATGTGAAGACGACTTGGCAGAAAAGTAATGTAAATTCATTTTTAGGTTTCCGTTAAATGCGTTTTGATTAATATAATCGATATAATTATATACATATAATATATATAATTAATATAGCTGCTAATTCAGTGCTAAAGTAGTTGAAGCACGTACTCTTCCTTTAAACTCAGAGCCAAAAACATTCTGGGTGGTCGTAGCTTTAACAACAAATGGGGAATTCTAGTATGTGGCACAAATGAGAGCTGCAATATCCTATGCAGTAGCTTAATATTCGGAGTCTTTCTCAAAGTCCCAAGTATCGACGGTAGTACTTCAGAAACTACAGTATCGAAGTATGAAATTGTTTGGTCGCCCAGCCACCGGGTAAAATTACGATTCGCGGAGGCTGCGGCGCCGCCTAACGGAAAACCGAGTCAAACCAGCTATCAGAGTACCACGATGTTGCACTTCCCAAGCAGCATTTGCACAAAAAATCATTTTTTCCATAACATCGGCCAGTTGTATGCCCAAATACCTCCCTTTTGCAGAGTGCTAAGTATCATTTAGCCATTAACAAGCATTTACTGCCGTTATCTACAAGCTATGTGCCAAACTGTTCGTGAAAGGCTTGCAAAATTAAAAATCGTCTTGTTGCTAGCTGAGAAAACTTGAGTGTTCGCCGTTTTTTTCTACAGTCTGCAGAAAGCTAGCATGCAAAACTGTCCCACTTGTGTGCATAAAGCATGCTTTGACCATCAAATATTGCTGAGATGTAGACCACCCTTACAAGTGAAGTTGGTAATGTGATGGAGTTATGGTAACTACTGTTTAAATTTGGCAGGAAATGTCTACCAAGTACCTTTAGCAATTTCAAGTAGATAGCGTTTTTTTTGCATTTTCAATTAGTACTATCAGTTAAGCAGATAAAAGTTTCACATCGCATATTTCATACGAATTGAGACACGTTAAATGATTGATATGAATTTGTCCTATGAAAAATTCATCAACTTTCGTTTGCAAATCAAAATGTGATTAATTGAAATTCGTTTATCTTGACGACTTAAAGTTGAATTCGCTATTAGCATCATTTTCCATCTTTATCGAATAGCTCATCAATGTGTGTCGGTGCACAACTTGGACAAGAGTTTTAAATACACAAAGCGCTTTCTAATGTTGGTGACATACTCGGAGTTCCTGAAGAGTTACTTTTGCTGGGTAGGTTTATGTGGTGTCCTTTATCCTATTATGGTTTCCTACGTCTCCTCAGCAGATCGGCAAACGAGTATATACCCTTGTTGCCTTGTCCATTTTCCCCATTCGTGTAACCAACCTTCAGGGCTGAAAGGCAAATGACGGTTACACTGTTACACTTTAGTAGTCAGAAGCATCGCAATGCTGATTAATGAGTGCCGGATACGCTGCTTTAAAATAGAAGAGGACGCGGTTATAACTAACTAGTGACATGGCAGCAATTCGTCACGCCACGCGAAAATGTTTGCGCCGATTACGTGCCCCAGATCATTCGTTCCTACCCGCTAACATACTTAAAGCAACGCCTGTCTGCCAAAATACCCTTTTATGCATTGCTATTTTCAATACTGAACTCCACCTTCAAATGCAAGTAAAGTATACGTAATAGCGATGCGCTGCTTTTTGTTGCACTTGGTTCGGCGGCAGTAAAGGAGATGAGAACGAAGTCTTGATGCTAAACGTGCCCCATCACTCGCCCAGCAGTCCAGTTTTGAGACAGCGCAGATGACTTCCTTAGATTGACTCGGTTACCGATTCCTTTTTATTAAACTTGAACAATTTCAATACTTTTGAAGGTCGAAGGATGTTGCAGGATATTCAGATACAATGATTGGATTCATCCTATTGCCACTGAACAATTAACATATTCTCTACCATAAAGTTTTGTCTCATAATGTTGCCAGCGCTTTAAACTTCGCTTCTGCACAAATTAGATCGTCATGGCGTATTTTAATAATACCACTTTTTGGATGGAATAGGTGCAGATAAAAATAAGTGCGGTAGATTTTGATTTGTTAGATTTGGGTCCAAACTCCTATGTTTGAAAGGTTTCCACTTTGCTCATACATTTAAACTATAATCCGTTAACTTTTTGTTTAAGGGATAGCAAAAAGGTTTTTAAAATTATATCATCGTTAATGCGTCTATAAATGGCAAAACTAACTAAATTTTGCTTCCAGGCGTATTGTTTAAAAGGAAAACCGTCGTTGCACTATGAGAGTAATTTTTGGTAGACATGATTAATACAAATTGGAAGCGAATATTGCATTCGCAAAGTAAGCTTTGTTGAGTACGAACGAAAGTTTCGCTTTTTAAAAATTACATAACCAGATGGAAACATGGATACCGAATCAGATTTAAACTACTACACCCCTGACGTTTGGTAGATAGATCGACTTCGCTAGTCGGGATGCATTTTCAGTGCATACGCATCCACATTGACTGCTCAAGATGTATTTTGGACGGTGTTTCGGTGAGTCGGGGAGAATCCTCATGGGGTGCTCTGCATGAATAGACTAGCAAACACCCATAGTGCCCACTGAACACTCGTTTGCTTCAATGGTTCCACCCACACTTGCCCTCACTGATGTATGAATAATGCATGTTGGCACACCTCCAACTTCCCTGTTGCTCTTGTCCATTAGCAGGTGTAATTGCAAAAGGCTTTCCGTTTTAACCTCCATCAAATTTTGCGCCTTTGGGACAGGCATGATACGTGGCACATGTGGAACGGTTAAGAATTAGTGCGGAATTTCAAAGCATATCATTTATGTTTGAACAAAAATATCCTGTAAGGCAACAGATTTGATGGAGTATTTAGGCCAGCATAACTGTTCCAAATATCTACAAAAGTCATCTCAGTATGTTGGTGATGCAAAGATGCAAAACGTCTGCAAGAAACATGCAGTAGGTAAAAATTTACTGATGCAGCATCTGAGCAATTACAGAAACTCAACCATTTTTTCCCCAATGCTCATGTATTTCCTTTCTCAATTTATTAGCTACAGTTCTTCACTTCAGCATTGTCGTGACCGTCCCGAACCTCCAATGTTCTCTTTTAACTAACTAGCTTCGACAGCATAATGCAAACTTTCCAAGTATCGATTTGATTAAGTAAAAAGGATTCTGTAAACTTTAGCTTAAAAGAAAATAATTGTTGGGGTGGGGTGCGCCTTGAAGTGATGAATGAGAGAAAATTGTTATTTCGCAAGAGCCGACTGTAAGATAGTTTTGCGAAACTCAGCCAAGCTCTTGTGTTAGGATTTCCTTAAAGAAACCCTTGGAGCAGTCGATAAGAGGTGTGACATGTCATTAGCAAATGAAAATTACCTCACCTTCGATCATAAACAACTTCGTTTGTTAACTGACGTAAAGTTCCCATGCAGTGCTAGTGGCGAAACCTCTTGACAGATGAAGTGCGCGGATTTCACTGCAGTAGGGAACGAGTATTTGAGAGCTTAGATGCATTGTAAGGTTATAAAATTAAGGTGATAAGGAAATTAAGTGAATTACGGTTTGAAGGAAGGACATTACATCCTCTTAATTTAAGTGTCCTCATCACACACCTTCGCACTTATTATGGTCGACCTTTCCAAACTAATGCTTTTTTTATACACGCACTACTAAGCAGTGTGGATTGTTATCAAAATATTGTAACCTAAAGGAAAATGATGAGCTGAATGCACTTCTCGATTCCTTTCGAGAACGACCAAACACACTCGAAATGCCGGCAAGAGTCGTGCTCTGGAGGTATTTTAAGGTCTTTGACGAGATCAAAACTAAACGAACGTACCGCATGTGCTTTCAGTCGAAGAGATTCTTCTACCTTTGCAATCGTTTACCAATGAAATCAAAGTGGTTTTACCAAGTCTATCCAATGAATGAGTGCAACATCTTGTTTGTCCTAGTTAATATATTGTTTTGTCGTGTTTTTGTATTTTATGATGCAGATTTTTATGAATATCATTGATTGACAACTGTAAGGCTGTGCCAAATCGATTGTGTCTAAGGCTCTCCTTCAGATGGCGGTTATGCACAACTTACACTTCGCAATTATTTAGTACAATTGAACCATTGGGAAAAACCAAAGCCAAACGCAAGGTTAATCATATTTTTTTACTGAGACATTCATTTCGTCACTTCTTAGTTTGATCGAGTTGTAGTCGGTAAATCATATTGACAAGTATTCTTTATTTCTCAAACCCAAACTCCGTTCACTATGTAGCTTAACTACTTATCATGCACAGATTAAATTTACTGTCTGACGAGTAATCACCTTTTATAGCAGTCATGGACGATTTTGGATCCCTTTGTCATCCTCGCGAAAGCGACATGACAGCGAACGATGGTTTTGGCTGAACCTTTGAGCCTGTCATTTTTAGGTTTTCCAGAGCCCAAAACTGAAGGAGGGTTCAAGTGCTCACCCAAATCCGCCCTCCCTGTTATTGTTAACTTTTGCGCCACACTTTTCCTGAAGCCTTTCAATCAAATGGTAACCGCAGAATGATGAAAATATAGAATGGAATTGGATTCTCATACTCCATTTATGCCCAGTCCATGAGGTGGGAAGACATCCTCAACGTTTTGTTGTTTTGTTGCTCCCAAGTACGTAGCGGGTTATTTGACATCACCTACAGGGCTGCTAACTGGTGAGACTCCGTGCCCTGACGGTGCAACTACAGACATAAAATGCAGCATTTTTACTACTTCTTGTTCTTGAAGCTCGTAGATTTTGCAAATATCTTGAAACCAAAAGTTAACTCTTTTGATTAGAGACGAAAACTAAGAGAAGTTATTCCAGTGGTCACTTTTCGAAGTGGCGACGTGTGATTTAGCTTGCGACTTTTTAAAATTCCAGTTGGTGTTAAAGTTAGATTCCTCGTGCTTTCGTTTTGATTTTAGCATGCAATTGGAATGAGACCTTAAAAGCTTTCAATAAATACACCTCGCAAACACTAAGAGAGTCATGTCCAGAAAAACACCTCACTTTGACCATCGTTTTTACTGATCGCTCTAAATTAGTAAGGCAGAACTATCAACACCCTCACAATTAGCGGCCCATTGTTTTTGGCCAACTTCTATACATGAATGCCTGACGGGAAATGATTGAGGCGTAATTGCTGGATGGACCGGCGCCTACTACTAAGGCGCTAATGTAAAAATGAGTGAGGCTATTAATGCTATCAGTATAAATGAGTCTTTGCAAAGATGTGGCGCTGCTAGTCAGAGAAAGGAAGTTTGAACGAGACTAGGGCTTTGGGGACCGGCATTGCACCAGCGGCTGGGGGGTAATACGACGATTGTTAAACCTTTGGAAGACAGCCTATGGCAGAGCTGCAAAGGAAGGTTATCAATTTTGCCATATCCCTTTATCATGGTGTTTATGTTTCATACACACACGCACAAACGTCCGAACTCTTAAACTTCAAAGGCGCCGTGAGTTGTTGACCCACGTGTGTGGCTGTGTGTGCAGTGGGAAAGTAATGTAATAATTGTTACCTCCTTTCCCTTTTTTGACGCCTTAATTATCCGCTTCTACTATCACCTGGTCATCATCGTCGAATCACAATTTTGTAATTATTTTTCTCCCCATCAAGTAATTCGGAGTCATTCAGTGCAACAGTCCAACTTCCTCCTGCGTTGTTGTTTAAATCAACGGTCTCCACTTCCAATTAAAGAACCCTGCAAAAAAAACGAAAAAATTTCGACATGATTAAAAGTAGGGAAAAACTGATGCAGAAGCAGGAGACTGTTTAGAAAGAATTTGAAGCCTTTTGTCCGCTACAATTCTACACAGGTAAAATGAAGCACAAGTGAAATCAAGTTTTCTTGTACTCTTTCCTCATGGTAAGGTATCGGTCACTTTCTTCACGGAAGCTTGGAGCTTGAAAGTTCCCATGCCTTGCCCTCTATGGGGACTGCTACTGAGTTCAGACAATAACGGTACAACGAAACTTAATTTGAAAGGTGGTATATCAACACAAATTTAGCGAGACGTGAAGTATTTCTGTGGAATAGAGACTCGTTGCTTGCCACTAGGCTGAGAGTGGTTGAACTTAAAACGTTAGAAATTTTAATGAATTGGAACTTCAAGAATATAGTTCTTTCACTATGTTTTAGTAGTAAAAATTGTTGCTAAATTAAGCTGTTGAGTACTAAAATGCAATGAACGTCGTTAAGAAGAACAAATCGGAAACGAGTATGAGCGATGTCGGAAGCGTTCATGCCATTGTGAACCAAAGATAAGATCTTCAAAGTAGTTTAACCTCACAAGTAGATACAATTGAATCTGCTAAACCATTGCGGCACACTGACGAGGCATTTGCAGACTTGTGTACGACTTTGTAGGTAATTCAGGAGTCAGAAGTTGAAGGGAAACCAACCTTCAATATCTACCTCTTCCTTACTCCGCAATGCCAATATGAGGAGAATGCTTTTGGGGAGATATTAATCAACAACTCCTCCGCCGTGGCAATCATGCACGTCGTTGCTGGTAAGGAACCTTCTTGCCTGCTTTCACTTTGTTTGTGCGCATAGTTGTCAACTTATCTGTGTGTGTCTTTTCGCCTTCTCGTTCATCCGCATGCTCTGCAATGCCTTGGTAACGGTTCGGAAGCGTAGACATTCTTCCTTCATTGTTCAGTACATCTAGCAAAACAAGTGCCTTTGCCTTTTTTACAAAACTTAGCTGATTTTCCATCGAGACCGACAAGATCCTACCGTACCCTAACAATGACTTACGAACGGCCGACTGTACACACATTTAGATGTTTTTAAACCCCCTTGTTATGGGTCAAAACACACTTTAAAAATGCAAAAATCGCTAAAACGGGACTTTTCTTCTAAACATCACCCGTTAAGTAATGAATAGCAGTGCAACGAAAGGCTTTTGAGGCAAATTTTCTGAAAAGTCATTAAAACTTCACTATTGCCAAAATCGTCCACGACTAAATTTACCAAGAATTTTGTTACAAACACGTTGCTGCTCTAGTTTTTGTGCATGTCTAGCGATCCTCTTTGTAATTCATTTGTAAATTTATTTTTCTCCATCAAAGAGTCACAGTTAACTGAAAAAAGCTCCTAGCGGCGCAACACACAAAAAAATGTCTTCCGCTGACCTTTGTGTTCTCGTAGATCTATGTAACGCAGGTCAAGCGGAATGTGTGACAAGGCACTAAGTTGAGAGAGAGAGACAAACTTTAAAAGTGCAAACAAAAACTTTTTCTGGGGTTCCAACTGCGCATGTAGAAAACACGGCTTTACTTTAAGGTGACGACTGGAGCGACTAAAATGTTGGAAATATTTATTTTTTTGCGCTGACTTTTGTACTTTGCATAGTAAAGGACGTAAACTTCTTTTGAAGCTTAAAAGAAGGCAACTGATGTTATCGTTCCTATGGTTTCATGTCAGAAAAGTAACATTCTATCTTATCGTATGTGGCTAGTGGCGTATAAGGATTCGCTGGCGAAAGCGGAGTTAAAACACTTAGCACTAACAAATTTTGACCTGCACGGACATACATCCCAATGATTACGACTGCTGCATTTTTGCCTGAGAGAGGTGATCCTCCATTGGGGCTAACTTTGGACTACCAATAGATGCAACCATTGTTTTCCATGTACAAGGTATTCCATGTTAACCCTTTTCACCTTGCTGGACCAGAATTAATCTTCACTGACTGTCTAAGCCATGAGACAATCACTTTATTGACTGGTAGAGCCTCGACGACAAGCAGAACAAAGCATTTGTGTAACCCCCGTTGTTTACAGCTGAAAACCGACATCTATGAAAAGGGTTGAAACCCTTAACATTTTTCGCTGAAGCGAATCTGGAAACTACAACTATTATCCACTAGAACTGCTTTACATGGCAACTTTTGGAATAATCAAGTTTAGTATGAATGACAAGACCGTTCAAGGATAAGTTGCTTTTCAGCTTTATGCTGCATGCAATTTAGTGAATTCATTACTGGATGACAGAAAGCCACAGGCAGAGTGGTATTTTAGGTTGACACAACCACTGAAACACAGTTCGGATGCTACAATTGTTATGCTAAGTGGTGCTTTTAAAACAAGCAACGATGCTTGCGCACTCTCCTCCTTACTGGTGTCCGAAGAAGAACAAACTGATCAAGCTCACCTCTGCATTAATACTCAATAATTTTAAAATTAGCAACTCCATTTAAACAAGAACTTAGTGATAAGTACCATTAATTTACTACAAAGTGACTTGCAAGGCGTTTCCTTACTCCACCTTCAAATGATTCAGCCCCCAAATTATTCACATCTGTCAAAGCCCAAACGGAAATGGATTGCCTGTACAAAAAGACTCACTGTTAATAAACTCTTGAAATTAGGAGTTTAATTAAGACAAGTTCCGTATATTCGCGCACAAAGCCAAAGAAGGAATGTAGTAATAGTAGAAGGAATGTAGGATAGTGGGCAGGTAGCTCGCACATTGAGCAATAAAGAACCCGTGATCTATTAGAAGCGACCGCTTTCCATGTATATTACCGCCTTGCGGAAACTTGTACTTTCGAACTTTTGTCATAAAATTTCTCTAACCTCAGACTGACTTAAATTCCGCCCCATCCTCCCCGATCCATTTTATTGGGGACGAAGAATAACAATCTTACTGAGCACTTGGCACCCACTGTGATGTCACTCGAGAAGTCGCAACTTGTGCGTCAGCAAACACACCAAAAGAAGGCAAAACTATGCTGAATCGCCCAATAAATTTCTCCCCACTTTAATAGCCCTTGAACCATATTCATCACAGTCAGGTGAAAATGTTCCATAAATAAGCCCAATTCCTCAAAACTCTTGTTGGGGAAAAGTTAAAACAAGGCTTTAGAACAATTGCAATAAAAGAGGTGACATTCTCGATGAGCCTTTGAAATTTTATTGGCCATGGTAGTTTTCTTCGCATCACTCCGATGAACCAGACTTTTGAATTGCTTGAAAGTTGAAGATGTAAGACCTGTTTGTAGTATCTTTATCTCTCTTTTTCTCCCATTCTGATAGACCGCGTAAATGGAAAACGGAAACTCTGAGACCTTATTTGACAATGTGAGTACAAAAGGAAAAGTAGCGCCATGAAAAGAGGGAAGTGTCTAATTCTTGCTCTTGGCTAAGGAGTCAAACCGCTCCTAAAGAACCACGTTCAAACCAAGTTTTCGCCTCTCTACTACAGAATACATTTAAGCAACAAATGCACATTACAATACAGACCAAAATACTAAAACCTATTATGCATGGATTCGCGCCAACAGTTTCAAGGACCTCTTCGAAATCTGCGTTTAGACGCCTCCCAAGTCAGCGTGAATGGGTTATATGAAGTCGATAAATGCGTTGCAAAACATGTTAAGACAGGTGTTGTATTTTACCAAATTATAGAAAAAACAACTCTTGTGAATTTATTCTAGTACTCGCTTAGATGACGTGGATTGAGATGTGTGATATGCTATGGCTGACTATAAGCATCTCCGTTTGCCCTCCGCCTCAAAAAGACTTCACACCATGAAACCTGTTCCACAGTCAGTCTATGAACAATTTTCCATTTTTTATGGGTATCCACTTCCCGCTTTAAAGTGTGACTACGTCAACTTTCGTCAATGCAGGTTATTTATCCAAGGGAGTAGTTGCGGCTCGTGCATAACAATAATTTATGCAATCACTACTTTCTGACGTTCCAGCGTAACAAATCCAAGGGCCTCCAAGCCACTAACTTGCTTCACACAAATCTGTTTTCGGTAAAAGTGAAACACTAATAGGACATTACCTAAGCTTCTAACATTTTTGCAGAAAAAGATCCTTACTTCAGCCGTGAACAGAACACTCAGCCAGAACTGACGCAACCACCTGTGTTTCAGAAGTTCAGGCATCTCGAAAACGGCATCTCCGTAACTCAGCGGACAACAATTACTAGCAGTACAGCAACAGCACACTTCCCATTGTTAATGCTAGTACCTTTTCTTAACTTATTTTCCTTGCTTTCCCTGTGATCCTAAGACTTTCAATGTTGCTTTTTTTAAACTCAAAATAACTTATGTACAATCTCCAACACTTTGCTAACGAAATGTGAGAAATTAGCTCCCTACTATTAGAACCAAAGTAACACATTGGCTGAACCTCATTCATCATAGACAAATTTGCTATGGTCTGCATGACGATGGAGGCAACAGCACAAAAAAGCATTCGAATACATAAGCTAACTGTAGTAGTTAACCTAAACAGTAAAGATGCAAGTAACTGTTAAGATGCTTCAAAAGAGACACCTTACACGTCAGTAGTGCTTTGGAAAAAGAGGTATATTAACTCTTGAGAAAGCGGAATAAGACCACAATGCACGATAAACCCGTACTTCACATCGAAATCTGACAATTCAACACCGCGAATACAAATGCGTTCACAGACCGAGAACCTGCGTCATGCCTGCTGAAAAAAAAATAACCGAGGCGCATCACTCCAGTGCCCCAACTTAGTATCTGATGAACTAAATGAGTGAAGGCATACTTGAGATAGGACAATTTCAAACCATCACACGAGTAAACATCCCTAGCCGACGAACCACCTCGAAACGAAGACCTAAGGGAGATCAGGAATCAATAGACGCACAACTAAGCCCATAAGTGGGGAAGACGCTAAAAGAAGCAATAAACATTAACCACTAACCCCAAATGCTAATTATAGGACGATATTGCGAAGGCACAAGCCGGCATATGGGACACGCTTAACCACTTCCAGACACATAAGTAATGGAATTTGCATTGAGTCAGTTTCCAAGAGGAGGTTACGCATTCAGTAAATACACTTGAGGGAATTCCCAGCGGTAGCCACTCACTGCTGCTTTTGTAGGAAAGCCTTCCTCTTTGATCTACCATTTTCAAAGTTGGCCCAACAGATAATTGAGAACGTTATGATGAATGCTAAACCCGTAAACCAACAGAATTGACTTACGACTTGCAACGACAAAGAATTTCTCACGAAAACGTCTAACGAAATTCGGAAATCCATGACTGAAAAAGCCCTTGAATGCATTCACCTCGTAAGGCGATATGCTATAGGTTATAACACCCCGTCTGTAATGAAGCTCACCAAACCTCATCTTAACAAACGCTCACTACCGCGAGTCGACTAAAACAAACCAAGTGATGTATATGTAAATGCAAAAAATTTCCCTTATTTTACCAAAAAGCCTAAAAATATTAACAGAATATAACAACTAAAATCAATATAATAAAGCAAAAGTGATTACACTGCAGCATTAACATAAATACATTCGAAGGTTAAAAAATAGCTCCTTTATAGTTAATTAAAGACTTTTTTATGGTTCAAGACTATCCGCAGGGTATAAATAAGTTGTTTAAGTGGACTTTGGTAGTTGAGAATCGGGAACGAGTTTGGAAGGCAAATCGCGCGTGCGAAGTCCGTGGGTAGTCTCTCTCCAAATGGTGTCTTTTACTCGCGTCATTTGCATCCCATCTCCCTTTCTTCTTATAAATAGTGCCTAATAAATCATCTGGAACCAACTTTTTTTGAAATCTGAGTTTCAAGGACCAGAGGATAGACAGACAGCACTTACACTGGTGGCACTTCCGGTCGACATCCCTCCCTTTAAAGAAGGCACTGATGTCGATAACTGGCTTTTCTTTACAAAGGCATATCTCGAACTCTACTAGTCTGCTCGGAGAATGCCATTGCTACTCCGCGCCTTGCCCTACGACCTACGTCGGGAAGCAGTGGATGTTCTACCTTTATGCGTGTACAAGGCAAGCTAGGTCTTACATGCTCATTTCTTCTGGACTCGAAGGCAGCCCATTCCCTACGAATCCCACAGGCTTTCCTCATTGTATGCAGCAACGTCAAAATTACTCCACCGGCTATTAGACTAAGCTCTGCAAAAGGAAAATAAATTTCGGTAGTAGAAGAAGCACCTATCAGTGTTTCAATCGGGAATGACAGCTGGGAGATAAATTTCGTGCTATGCTCAGAACTAGTCTGAGACGTACTGTTAGGAGCCGATTTTTTTGCGCCAATCCGGAGGAGTTATGGGCTTCGATACGGGCATGCTAACACTCCATCGATGGTCCAAGAAGTGTTCGATCCCTAAACCAAGGAAAGATGCAGATGATATATACAAATCTCTTTTCATTGTCCTTGCCATCCCCGCGACCAACCCAAACGATCTCTGCGCTCAACTAAAACAGATTACTGACGCTGAGAGGGAGGTACTGCGCTCACTTCTGACAAATTATTCACAAATATTCTTGTGGGAGGGCGTTAAACTTGGACGAACAAACTTAGTAAAACACAGGATCGATGATGGTGAGGCAAATCGGTCTGGGATTCCCCTAGACGTATACCACCACCCATTCAAGACGAAGTACATCGATTGATTGACGAGGTACTGCGCGATAACGTTATCAGGCCCTCCCAGTCACTCTGGTCCTCCCCCATCGCATTAGTTAGAAAGAGTGACGGCAGCCTACGTCTATGTATCGGTTATAGGAGGCTCCATGCAATAACGAAGAAGGACGCGTTCCATCTACGTCACATTAATGACTCGTTGGACTCTGCAAGTAGCGAAGTGGTTTTCGACATTGGATCTCAAGTCTGGCTATTAGCAGGTGGAGGTAGCGGAGAAGGATAGGGAAAAACAGCCTTCATTGTGCCAAATGGACTATATGAGCTCCAAATGATGCCTTTTGGGTTTTATAACGCGGCAGCCATCTATGCAGACGGCATTGCGTGGCTTATCCCCGAAACATTGCATTATCTATCTAGAAGACATCCTCGTTTTCGGGAGAGACATCAAACAACATAACTCCAACCTTCAATTAGTACTAGGTCGTCTTCTGAAAGCAGGTCTGAAGCTGAATCCGGATAGCGGTCACTGAAGACAGAACAAGAGAAGCAAGGACTCGGTCGACACCTACAAAGTAAACGGAACTTCGCAGATTCCTTGGTTTGGCTAACTGTTATTAGCGTTTTGTAAAAGGTTTCGCCAAGATCGCAAGTCCCCTATACAAGTTGACAAAGAAACAGGCAAAAAAGGAGTTCCGCGCAGCACCGATCATGACTTTACCAAACTTCAATGCCGAGGCTCCTCCTTTCGTGTTGGACACAGACGCAAGCGATACGGTGTGAGTGGAGTTCTATCCCAAAAAGACAAAGACGGGAGAGGATATGTGATCACGCACGTCAGCTCACGCCTAAGCAAAAAGATGGAACAGAAGAATGCAACAGAACGGGAGCTCTTCGCCACTTATGCAATGCTTGGGCATTTTAAACACTGCTTGACGGGAAAGCAGTTCGTTGTGAGGCCAGATCATCAAGTGCTGACATGGTTGAAGACGATGAAGGAGATCGGTCGCTGTGTTGCGAGGTGGTACGCAGAACTCAAGCAGTATGATTTTATCATGCAATACGGGAAAGGAAGCTCTCATGGCAATACGGATGCTCTGTCACGGAGACCCTTATCCCCATCCATGGATAGTGGCACAGTAGGTGCGCTGTTATTGAGTGAGGGAAACACGCAAAGCGCCGATTCCGATACTGCTTTAGTTTACGAAAGACTGAGGATATCTTCGGCCAAGCCCACAGTTGAAGGGATGAGTTAGGCGGGCAAGAGAGCCAAGCAAATGTGGCAGAACTGGGATAAACTCTCTCTAGACATCCCTGTTGGAATTGAATGAGCAACTTGGCGATGTGGGGAACAGGAAGATCCTTGACGCCGCGAGGGAGAGGTGTTGGTGGCCCTCGCTGACATCGGATGTCTCCGATTTTTGTCGCGCATGCGTCACGTGTACCAGCTCGAAGGACTCAACTCGCATGGCAGTAGCCACTCTACAGCCGATGTCCACGGGCTTTCCAAGGGAGCGAGTAGGCTAAATCATAGGCACGATTCTCACGGCTCCGAAGGGGAAGCGTTATACTTTGTTGATGGTGGACTACTTCACCAAAGTCGCGGAAGCCGAGCCACTATAGGCGCAGGACGCTGGGACAGTAGCGATCGCATTCTTCAATTACTGGATCTGTCAACATGGCGTGCCTGATTCCGTACGTAGCGACCAAAGAGTGAACGTTGAAAGATGTCTCTTCAAAGAGCTGTGCAAAGCCTTCGGAATCCGTAAGACGCGAACGACATCGGGTCACCCTCCGCCCACACCTCGACTGGAGTTTCACCATTTCAGATACTCACGGGCCGTGAAGTGAGAGTCTCTTCTGACATTTTGTTCCCTCATAAGAAACCGTCAGTGGATAACGCGCCTCAGTATGTCTTGAAGCTGAAGGAGCGCCTCCGGAAAGTGTTTAACGCTGCGTGCAAACAGCTGAAA